TTGAATGGTTGATAGAGCAATAAAAATGATGATAATTTTTTCCATTGGAAAATTCAATAATAGAAACAAGCTTTGATGTTCACTTGAAATAAACGAACTGATTGTAGTAATTGCTGGATACTTGTAGAGCGATGAAGTTGCTAGTTGTCTTAGAAATGCAATAGATGTATGTAGTATTTATATACTAGCGAAAACAAAAGTATTGCTCAGAGAAAGGCGATTATAAAATTGTTATTGCGACACAAAATGTACAAGGCGATATGAATACTTCGTGACAATATAAAATGATTATTTTGATATTACTCATTGAATGTGAATTATGTTGTTTTCATCATGATATAGTCCCTTCAAGAAAGTCACGACTAATCCTGCACAATTGAAAATTTTTTATTTAGATCAAAATAATCTCATCTTGTAGAGCAAATTGTTTTAGACGTATAGGCAAAGTTTTAGACTTAATACATGGTATTTGTTTGAGGTATGATACTCTGATTACAAGCATTCAATAAATCTTTTTATTAATTCGACATATTTTTTATCAATCATTTATTATAGTTATTTTTATGATATCTCTTCACTAATAGGAATTAGAATTTAACAAACAAAATAGATAAAACAGTTGATCTGAAAAATCCTCGGAACAAGGAAAACAGTTCTAATGTCGTTTATATACGATCACAAGCGTCCATTCTACTTGAAAAACAGTGACAAAAGGCAAAAAAGACAATCAATATTTTTCTTTACTTTTCAAAATCTGATGAACTATTTAAAAAAAAAATTCATTTACTGCATTTTTATTTATATAAAAAAATAGATTCCTTTGATCAAAGTAAGATTGCACTTATCGTTTATATGATATCAATCAACTATGACCATGTGTTTGCATGAAATTAGGATACTGAAAAAATACATATGATAAGTTTATTGATTTTGATTGTATAAATAATCGTATTGAAATACTAAATTTTATAATTATGTTTGAAGTTAAAATCAGATGATAAACTATAGACATTCTAATATTGCTAAACGTGAAACTGCTGTTGCATTAGAATTTTCTGCTATCGATTGTCAAATTCATGAGCATGAATGAAAAATAAAGTCAGAATACGAGAGAAAAAAAAGAACAAAATCCAGACAGCACATTCATTCATCGGAGATTGGTCAATAAGTTTGCATTTCTAAGTGATCGATAAAGTTTCAAATATATACGAGTAGTATGAAAAAAGTTTTCAAAAAAAACTAATATGTACTAAGAGAGCTCGCAATCAATTTTGGTCGATATCTAATTTAATTAATGAATAGTTTTTATTCAATTTTCGAAAAGTAGCACTATTTAATTTCGATCAAATCGAAATATATATCTAAATAAAGGTAGATTCGTTCTTTTTCAAAATATAATATATGAATCAAAGTATTTTGTACAAGTTTTCGAACTTGTAGAAAACAAAAAAACTTCATTCAAGCAACCGAATACATCAATCGTTATTCTCATTCAAATTCATATGTCAGATATCGATGTTGGTAGCTACTGGCAAACATTGACTTTTCTGTCATTAAGTTAATTGAAACTTAATTACGTAATAGAACAGATGATGAAAAGTCTATTCATTTGGCTACTATCAGTATTCATAAGAACATTGTTCAACAACTAGATATTGAAAATATTATTCATGGATCTGCTAAATCAAAACATCGGTTAACTTTAATGGATAAAGTCAATTAAGTCTTTGTTTAATTATACATATTCTTATTTTCTTTCTTTACTGTACAGAATAGTTATCAAATGTCAATAAAGATCAATATACAAAATAATTAGTGTCAGATGTATTGTACACGAGTAAAGTCTCATCAAAACGAGATAGAAAAAATTTGATCGATCTTTCCGCTGAAAATCCTATGAAAGCATCTTGATACAAACTGATCACAGTACTGAATATGGTTGAACCTGATATCAGTCGATAGCTCTAAGCAAACTATACTTGGCACAAGCCATGGAATGAATATTTGTCGAAAATACGGAGTTTTTTGCTAAAATCAGTGTTGCAACAGTAATGTTTTCAATTTTTAAGAGATTTTTTGCCAATAAAAAATTTTTCGAAGGATACCCATTCGACAGTATATTTGGTATGATCTATTGTGTTTTGGTACAAATCTGTAGGCGAATATTTTCGCAAAAAAACCACAATCTCATTGGTAACTTTACTTATGTGTACATGATTGTGTTGTTACCGTTTCTCATCTATAGTAAAAGCAATAGACTTGAAATTTCATATTGATTGATTACTAAGTAGGCACAATAGTCTGCGAAAATTACAAAGAGTTTGCTTTTGTGATATGCAAGAACAATGAATTTTGAAAGTGTTTTAGAACTTCCACACGAGATTTTTTATTTTCCTATTTAAAAAAAATCAATTTTTTTTTGTTTTCATCAAAACTTCACTTAGTATTGATGTATGATCGATTATTCATATAACAATATGCATTCGAATGTTACAATAATAATGAGATGCTAGTTTTGAACTTCGTTCAATAAATAGTTGAATTTTGTAAGAATAGAAAAAGAAAGAATTTATTTCATGGTAAATTTTTTTTTTGTTTCTTCTTTTTTAACTAATATAATTTCCATCTAAAAACCATGGTTGACCAGATGAACGTGCTGTTAAAATATCACAGCCTGTATCTGTTACAAGAAATGTATGTTCAAATTGAGCTGAACGTTGTCCATCTTCAGTTACAGATGTCCAATTATCATTCCAAAGAACATCTCGCCATGTTCCTTAAGCAAAAAAAAAAAAGAAAACAATTAAGATTGATTAAACTTATTTTGTTTGTCTTACCAGCATTTATCATAGGTTCAATAGTAAATGAATGACCTGGTTTCATAACACCAATGGCTTTGTTTTCTTACATAGAAAAGAAAATAAATAAATGTCTTTTTTATTAGATATTTGAAATTCTTACTGGCATAATGAGGAATATTTGGAGCACAATGAAATAGTCTAAATAAATATAATAAATTAGATTAGTTAAGTAATTAATTAATATAAATATACTTATGAATGCCATGTCCACAATAAGAACGTACAACTGAACAACCATTTGCTGTAGCATGTTTTTGAATTTCATTTCCAATATCACGATATTTTGTACCTGGACGAACTATAAGAGTAATGTCAACAACTTTTTTTTGTTATGAAACAAAAAAAAAATTAATCAATAATTTACTCATTTCCATAGCTTTTTCTAAACATTCATAAGCAGTACGAACAAGATCACGTGACTTTTGATCAACATTACCAATAAGAAATGTTTCATTAAGATCACTATGAAATCCATGTTTATATACACTAATATCAACTATTTATATCAAAAAATAAATTATTTCTTATCTATATTTTTGATATACTTACTATTAAGAATATCACCATCTTGTAATGGACGTAAATCAGGTATTCCATGGCAAATAACTTCATTAACACTCCTAAACAAGAAAAATATCTAAATCTATAATTATAGAGAACAAATGTAACTAACGTGCAACATGATTTAGGAAATTCATAATAATTAAGTGGTGATGGATAACATTCATTTTCAATACAACACTAAATTAGAAAAGTTTATTTGTATTTTAGAATGATGATGATGATAATAGAAAGAGTTATTTTTACTTCATGAACAATACGATCTATTTCTTCTGTTGTTATACCAATTCGAAGTGATCTTGCAGCTTCATCTAAAACAATACGACCAAGCTAAAAAATTTCAATATAATCTATTATTTATCATATTAATTTATTCAATAAACAAACTTTGCATGTTTCACGTAATAAATCTTGTTCATCTTCAGTTAATACACGAATTGTACTACTTGATGATTTTTCTCCTTCTTCTGATTTCGATCTACCTTTTGGATCATCAGCATAATCAGGTCGTGGAATATTTGGTGGAACTAATCGACGAGGAGTCTCAAATAAAATAACATTTATAATATATTTCTTTTTATTTAAAATTTCTTACTTGTGGATATGGTCTTAATTTTCCAGTAAAATGAAAACCTGGCCATGGATTATAATTTTCTACGAAATTATTAGTTGACATAGAAGTTTCTATATAATAAAATAGGTTTTTAGTTTTTTTTTTGAAAATTTAAATCATAAAAATTTATGATATAACTCACTTGTTTGTACATGTAGTTTTTTATGTTCTTGCCAATAACTTTTAAAACAATTTTGTGAACAAAAATATGAACCATCAATAATATCTAGAAAAATAATTGAATGACAAAAGAAAAATCAACTAATATCAATTATTAAATATTTTACCTAATTTAACACAATTTGGACAACGAAGTTTTGCTTTTTCACCACAATTAGGTGTAACACATATATGTTCGTCAACAGTACTAGTTGCCATTATATCTAAAGATTTAAAATAAAATAGATTTTATTTTTCAAATGACTTTAATTTAACAATAAACAATATTCTTTTGTCGTTGATTATTTTTCACAACATAAAAAACACAACAATAGTCACTAGTTTGTTTTTTTTATATACAATTCCATCTTTTCAATAAAATAAAAATATACAACAATAACAACAACAGAACAAAAAAAGAATGAGGAAAATATTTCTTGTCCTTTCTGATTTAACATCAAAAATATAAATAAATAAATAAATAATACGGAAAAATATTTATTGTACAATAAATAATCTATTCTAATAAAAAGAAAAAACGAATTCTAAAGATCCCAACTAAATAAATGATGTTTTATAAGCATATCTCGTACATCCGATAGAACATCCAATTGTCTATATGCTATTGGTAATTCAAAATTTTGTTGTAATGTAAATGAAAATTGTTGTAAAACTCGAAGATCACATTTTATTTGAACCTAAATTTATAATAAAATTAAAAATATTAAATAAAAAAGAATTTTCATATACCCAACAAGGTGATCGTAAAAATGACCATGGTAAATACCATTTTTTAATAATATCTGTACATGAACATAATGTTTCTAACCATAAATGAAGAACTTGTTCATTAAGACCAACACATATAAATGATCGTAATTTAACATCCATTTGTGCATGAGCAAGATTATGTGTATAATTAATTGAACGTATACAACGACATAAAAGTTCTTCAGGTGTTAAAATTCGACCATCTTCATCTAAACGATATGTTTTACAAAGTATAAGACGAGCATAAACACTATCAAAATCTTTATTTATTGCATGTAATGCTGCTTCTTCAATAAATAACCATGGATGACATATACCACCTGAAATAAAACAAAAACAAAATGAGATTTTTATTACATATACTTCTTCATATTATATAATAGACTCTGAGTCATTACTTTCTCAGCAAACTATAGAATATTTAAAAAAAAAACACAAATGAAAATGATTTTTATTTTAATCTTTATCATAAAATATGTTGATTTCCTATTACATTAAAGTATATGTAAACGAATATATGATTTATGTAAAAAGAATAGTTATAAACAAGTTTTTCAATTGTTTCTGTTTTGTTTTAAATGATTTCAGTCGAATTCTTATGTAATTAACATTGAAATCACAGTGAAATTCATTGTTTCTTTTTTCTTTAAATTTTCGACGCATTAGTCATGACTCAAGTCAGCTAGTTGTTCTCCATACTTAATCATCATTTCGAAGTGAGAAAAAGTTTGTCGAGATCGTGAGAATGTGTGAGTGTACATTTGAAATTAATTTAAGAAAAAAATCAATTTCATTCGAAGACTATAAAACTGTAGAAAACGATAATTGATAGCTGAGACTTTCCTTATATGGTCATACGTGACTCAATCTGAAAAATATCATTGGTATCTCAGATATTATATGCCACAGTTCTTTTATATGACAATAGTTGATTCACATTCATTATCTCTTAATTTGTCAGTTGAGTCAAAATAGTTGAACACAACTGAAATTCCTGATGATTTCCTCCACGGAAGTCTAAAATTTAGAAATAGCAGATGTCGTATAGAATCATGTTATGACATTTTTCGGATTCGTGCAGTTATACGTCATTTCTACTCAGGCTTTGCTCTAGTGACAGTTTAGTTCTTTGTCTGTTATTTATTTAAATATTAAGATATTTGTTAGAAATAAAAAACTTAAAGTTTATACAACATGTTTTGATATAAGGGTTAAGAAAATTTGGGACATTAGTTTTTTTTCTATATTGTTTCAGGTCTCGATTGTTCTCTCCAGAAAAGTTTTCGGGACAGATTCGGTTGTTTTGGGGGATGAGATAAACGGGATTTGGGGATTCGAGACTGTTCTACAGAACTCTACTTTGACAGCTCATTGAAAATCGCATTTCCCTATAGATTACATACGGTTATTGGTAGAATTCTTAGAAAGAGAATTAATAGATAATCATTAATTCATACGATGAGTAAAAACCAAATGAAAGCTAATAACAGAAGTTTATTACTTAAGAACCTGAAGTTATTCTCTTAGTAAGTGATAAAAGATTGGCGCTAAAAGGGATGTATGACATAAAAATTACGATTCAAAATCATTATGTTAGATTCGAATCAAAATTAATTGTGAATGAAATTTCTATGGGTTATTAACCCCTTAATCGTGCTTTGTTCATGGAGTCGATTTGACTGCTTTCTACAAACTGTAAGCCTCCGTAGCAGTTCTGACATATGTTCAATATAACTTGTCTTTCTGAACATCTTCCTTGAATGAACAATAGCCTCTTAATTAAAAGAGTAACAGACGCAAGCATACAGTGGATTATATACAGGATGTCCAGAAAGCCACAAAAGAGACATTAAAAATTGAATATCTCCACCGTGCTTTCACCAAATGAGCTGAACTTTTTTCTAAAAACAGAGGACAATTGCAGATTTTTATTCATATATAGACAGCTTATTCTTTGTTATATCCTCCGTCGTTTTTATTTCTGTCAATATCAAGAAAAACGTAGAAGCTTTTTCCAAATATAAAAAAAAACCAGCGTTCTTCAAGAAACCTTCTGCTACAATTTTTGGACTTCAGGACAAAATTGAACAAGTCAGTGCCCTAGTGAAACATCTTATAAGAAAGATCTTGAGTAAGATACAAGGTACAGAAAAGTAAACAGATCTTGAATACAGATTTATATGATGTAATTAAGATATAAGAATGTGACATTTCTTACCCGAGATCTTTTAAGATCTGGTCTAAGATCTTGACTTAGTAATACTTACTAAAGATTATTTTGCCACTACTCGGAACTACATTGTAATGAACTGTTCAAGAAAACACGATCTTCATTCAAGAATGTTTATGAGAGTGATGATTTCGAACGTTTTTTGAATAAAACATTAACTTCTAACTTGGCTTCTTGTGTTTGTAGAAGAAATCTGACTTCAGATTCATATTTAGCGTCAAATTTTACATCGGAGAGGTTATTTCAGAAGTCTCTAAAGGTATCCATACATGAATTGTAGTGATTGTTTTTGGACCATGTATATATTAACCAAGATCTTATAAATCTGTACCAATGATCTAATTACAGATCTCGTTACAAGATAATCACATTATCTTATACCTAAATGTTCAAGACATGTTTAGTTTTCTGTAACTTGTATCTTGGTCAAGATCTTGCTTACAAGATGTTCGCCTAGGGTAGCGATATGTGTCGCAAAGCATGTGTTTCTCTTTAGTAACGAAGGACAATTTCTGTCAAACTAGCTTTGATGCATTATATATGGCATACAACAGTTATTTAGTGATTATGCAGTGCGTGGGTTCATTGGTACTGTTTTCATATGAATGAATAAACTGTTTATATATGAATAAAAACCTGCAATTGTTCTCTTTTTTCAGAAGAAAACCAGCTCATTTGGTTAGAGCATGGTGAAAATATTCAATTTTTAGTGTCTATTTCTTGACTTTCTGGACACTCTATATATCCTATCTTTCATAAAGATCTAAAAGCATAATCAGCAAAAAAAAACTTTTATCAATAAAATATTTTCAGAAATTTAAACACGTATTTCATCGATTATATTGGATTATTAATCTTCTTACCAAGTACAGTTGATGTTTTTCTTAATCCATGTTCAAATATAGCTTTAATACAAGTAGCTAATTTTCCTCTAACAAGATCTAATATATATTCATTAACACTATCATCACCAGCAAATGAATATAATTTCGATCTTTCATCAACTAATTGTACAAATTTAGCTGGAAACCATCCATGTTTACCATTTAATTCTCCAATCCAACAATCTTCATCTGTCATAGATAAAATTTTTAAAATATCATTACGTTTAAAATTTAATTCATTTGAATCTTGACTTTCAAAATCTAATAAAGCTTTTGCACGTTTATATTTTTGTAATGATATATTTGCATAATGTTCATGATCTTTAACATGTGATTCAATTGAATAATCAACATCAAGATTAATATTTTGTTCAATATAACCATTTGGATCATTATCTTTAAAATGTTTAGCTATTTTAAGTATAGCTTCACGTAAATTAACAAGAATTTCTGTTTGTATTATATTACGTTCAATTAATGCTTGAGAATTATTTGATGAAATAGTTGATTTTAATTTTTGATTATGACGTCGTTGTAAAATATCTTTTGGTAAATTAAGTAATGGCATTTTAGGATTTATTGTAAAACCTTCTTGTGACATTAATTGTGCTAAATATTTTTTTCTATATGAATCAATTATTGTTGATGTTAAATTAAATAATTTTGGTAATTCTTCAAATATTTCATTATTATGTATATATTCATATTCAAATAATTGTGGTAATTCACATAAAAAATTAAATATTTGTGTACTATTTGTTAATTCAATTAATTTTTTTTCATATCTTTTTAACATAATTAAACCTATTTGAAATAATATTATTGAACCATAAAGAAAAAAATAATCCCATAAATGATAAAGAAATTTAACATGAAATACATTTGAATAAAGTGTTAAAAACCATTGAAAACATGTTAATGTTAAATCAATATCATATTCAATTAATAATTGATGAATATTTGGTAAATATTGTTCAATTAAATAACGAAATACACGTATATCAACTTGTACACCATATAATGATACAGAATAATATTGTCCAGGTAGAAGATCTTCAACTATTGAACACATCATCCAAAAAGCATCTTCTTCTTCGAATAATAATAATATTGTTGCACAAATAACACCCATACCCTAATTATTAAGAAAATAAATATTCATTTAAGTAAATGCAACTATAAGATTCTGACTATAAGACGAGAGATATGTAAGCTTGTAGAGGAAAGACTTCCTCTATCAAACGATGTATGTATTATCAACTTCTATTCCGTACCGTTAACTTATCGATAGATGGCGTCACATTTACCGCGACCATTGCAAAATACGTTGAAGATCTATTAGTATGCCTACAGTATGCAATAGAACTTGATAATACATGTATCAGTGGATGGAGAAAGTCTTGCCTTACAAGGCTACATATATCCCATTCTGTAGTCAACAATGACTTGAAAACTTATAGTTGCCTCTAAGGAGAAATACAAAAGATGAAAAATTTTTGAAAATAGTATTTTTTCGGATATTTTCACATTGAATTTGTTAATATGCATAGCTCTTGTATGAATTAACATAGCTGAATTTTTTGCAGAAAAAAACAATCATTTGAGACAGAAAAAGTTATTGCTTCATATGCAGTTCGATACGCTATATAATCTAGACTCATGAAAAAAAAAATGGGCTGAAAAGTTTGTTAGTCTGAAAAACTAGTAGATGAATACCTAAGAAGATTTCTCATGATCAAATTCGATAGTCTAGAATCTACTAGCTTTCTGTGAGAAAGTGATTGATCAATTGAAAACGCTCACTTGTAAGTTTATATTCGAATTGTAAAGATGATATTTTTCTAAACATTTTCTTTAAGTTTTTCTCGTAGTCGATCATCTCTTGAAATACAATGAATATTATCCTCAATTTTTGTGACA